AGTTTACGAAATTACTGTTTGGATTTTAACAATGTTGTTTATTAATTATTATCGAAATACAGTTTGTTGATTTATTGATGAATTATTTTATCGTCCCATTGAAAATTGTATAGATATTATAGATCAATAAATTTCTCATAATTGTTTGTTCTGCAAAATAAAATTCTGTCCATACATAAGAACAATTTTAAGACATACACGAAGCCTGCGTGTGGTTGATTCCATTGCGTGGACTACGAATTTACGAACATCTTGAACTACCACTATCTCCCCTTTCCTTTTAAAACATGTAGCACATCCAGGCCGATACGACGCGAATGCGAACATTTCGCTGTCGACACGCTACGGGCATGTTTTCTCAGCTGGTGCCCTAACTTTCGATCTCAGATCAATCCTCCCTTCCACGCAGCAGCAGATCCTGGTGGATCCTTTCAAGACACGGTCGGCTACCCACAAAGGATCTGCCCTTTCATACGCACGTTATTATACTCTTTACAGAATATCGTTCCACTTTCTTCCTTTTCAGAGTAAGGAAGGAAGAACGGAGGGAAGAAGAAAAAGAGATCTCTCTCTCGGTTTTGGCGACGCACGTGTTAGTGCATTACACTTATACCTACAGGCACACGCGTGCACGCCCACGCATTGTGAACCGAAGCCGAAGGTAGGGTGGACGTTCCGACGAAAGCCTCGAGATTTTCTCATTTAATTTGTTGTTATAGCTGCTTGAGACGCGCGGACCCAGCCATTCCTATGACGGCTCACGGATCCTCAAACATTCATTATATTTTTTTTTCTTTTTTTTGTGTAACACATCCAGCAGCGTGGCCGAGATTGCGGCTTTTGCGCGCTACCCTGTTTGCTCTGCACTCATGCTGGGATCTGTATTTAACCGCGTTTACCACCCGGCTAACCATCTTCATTAATCGCTCCTATCGTTTATGTAACCAGTGCTCCAGGCAAAACCTTGAAAGCAATATTAGGTATCAATATTGTGATATTCCGAAGTGTATAGCTACATTTCAGTATTTCTTTTTTTATTCACATTTATTTATATAGTATTGTTATATTATTTGCGTGACATTAATTTGTCCATAATTTGGAAACAATAGGTACACCGAAATAATAGAAACGTAGAGAATTTATTGAAAAAATACACATCGTTAAATGAACGAGTACACATAAATTATGTATGACGAAACGAATCGTTCCATAAAAATGTAAAAAAGCACATTACATACTAGCTGCATTAAAATCGATGGAGCATGTAAAAAATTTCGATAAACAATAAATCTTCCGATCTGCATACATACATATATACAGACGATAGTTGCAGCAATCGCGTTCAAACATTCAAACTCAATTGAGCAACTGATCGAATTCTATCGACGATTACATCACGGATTGCGGGTGATGCGATTAAGAAACGATATTATCGTGGTTCATTGCAACTGTTTGCGGGGAAGGAGCGAGTCAAATTTTCCGCGTTCAACGAATCGTAAGGAACGTAATTCGGAACTTGAAAGATTATTGAACCGTTCAAAGGGCCTAGGCGGATCACTTCTGTCTGATTTGGCGCATTTTCCTCGTTCCCGGTTGCTCTCGTCATGCCGCGAGCTCGGAACATGCTGTTAGTTTTTGATTCGACGAGCATCATGCTTGCCAGATATCACGCGATGAAATAAATAGCAAGAAAAATGTTTATTCGACGACACTGGGTTTTCAGTATCTTCCCACGCGGTCCGTAAAAGTGCTCAGGAAATTGTGTCGAGCTTCTCTGGAAGGGAAAACTGGGCCCATGCATTCCAAAAGGAGCGGACTTCGATCTGTAACAGCGATTCTAAAATCTTCCGCTGATACCGCACCGTCACGGTCCACGTCCAGTTTTCTTAGCAATAAATCTATCAAGTCCTGTGATAAAAGGAAAATATTATAAGAAAACAGTGGTTAAATTTTACAATCTCGAACGTTGTGTACACTGTAAGAAGCTGAAGAGAAAATATTATAGAATTGCAAATATGTATATGTAGCTGAAATCTATAAAACGTATTGTGTTTTTAAATAAGTTTATGTATGAAAAGTTTTTGTGCTACGTTATTAAATTCTGTAGCTTTAATAAAATAATAAAGTGTATCATGTACATATATTAATCCATCATACCTTTACAGCTTCATCTGGGTTTTCATCATTTTGAAGTTTAATTAAACATCCACGCATGATGGGAAATATTTGTTCCTTTTTCATCCTGTGAGTCCTCATATGATCGTACACCTGATAATAAATTATGTGACGATGAACATTTAATTAAATGATCGATCAGCGTTGATATTACTTGATAAGCAAAACGAATCTTTTCATCTTGAGTGCCGCGAAGGATGATTGAGAGACCTTCGATCCATTGTTCCATAGGTATCTGAAGTTTTTTTAAGTTATGAGAGAATAATTATCGGTAAATATAAGAAAAAATTATAAAGTAAATTATTCATGAGAGTAATTCATTCATGAGAGTCATGAGAAATTAATTCGAGAGTATAAAACATCAGTGGGCTTAGATATTTACTTGTAAAGTGTTACGTTTATCCACCACAGAGAACATTTTATCAACCAACAGGTGACGAATATTTTCCGTGAAATCGAAGCCAGCGTGGAATATATCTCGAAATATCAGCCTGCTTATGGGACCCAGTGTTTGTACACATTTGTTGTGAATAATAGCTAGAGCTGTAACAAAAAGAAACTATACAGTAATATTTCTACATAAGTAAATCAGAAATGTGTACGAAGAATTGCGATGTATTAAAGTAACCTTCCACTTCTCTTTGGTCGAAATGTGTGGTGCGAGCCAATCTTTTAAACTTGTGCTGATTCTTCGTTCTAAAGACGATCTCTTTGAGAGTGTCATTTAACATATCAATCGGCTGTTCCACCGGCATTTTGAGGCCTTATTACACTTACAAATTTTGATCTCGAATTTGTAATAAAATTTGCTCCTTGAAATCTGTTACGAATCGTTCGATTTTTAAATTTCAAAATCTTGTTTACTCCTCTAGCTTCACAGTATCATTAGCAGTTCATTTTATTCAATAACTATCCCAATGGTAGTT